AAAAAGGAAACAAAAGAAAGAAGAGAAGATACAAAGAAACGACAGAGAAGGTACTGATAAAATCGCAGATCAAGACTTCATTTCTTTATCTCGTGCAACCCGACTAATAATTATAAAACTATGTACATGTCTCGCGCGATCCGTTCGCTGGACAAACATGCGCTCCCGTTGCCGCCGGAAGCTCGCAAAGGATTTTTCGACTCTTATACCCTAAAACAACTTTCTCTCTCTAGACCTAACTACGCCGACAACTACTATTTACAACATGTATCGCGAGCTGAGCGTAATTCGGGAAAGTGTATCGCATCGCGGCTCTAAATATACATTTCTCCGATGGTCCCGTCTCGACGAATTTTACCCAACGCTGTCGGTTCCGCGTCTCTCCGGAGATCTGCGAGTCTCGAGTCACTTTTACAGACTTCAACGCGAACGTCGTCTATCAGCCCGGGACCATTCTTCTTCTTCGACGGTGCGTCGACTCGATTTACAAGAAACAATTCGCGCTATCTCCGATCGTGCGCCTCGACATTCAGCACCCGACCCGACCCTACAAGTACACTAATTATTACCCGTTTCGCGGATCGCAATTCGACTTGCTCCATCGTCGCGTCGCTAACTACGTAACCGGAATTTTGCTTGTACGCTCGCGAAGTCGCGGAGTCTTCCTCGCGGAGACTCGAACGGTTTTTGTTGATTTTTTTTCTGTTTTTTTTCTCTGTTATATTTTACATCTTTACACCCTTCTTCTTCATCTTATCCTTCATCTTCTGCTTCTTCTTCTTCGTCTTCTTCAACGACAGGATCGCGTCGCAAACCCGATTCCCCACGTGTCACGCCCAACTAAAAATATGTCCTACCACCGTAGAATTGCACGAAACCCCATTGTGTCTGTGTTTCTGTGTGCGCGTGTGTGTCCGTTGCACGGTTCCCTTTCCGCGTGAATATTCGTGTCTCTTTTTGGGTAGTTTTCCATCTTGCCCGAGCAACCGAACAAAGTTTCCAACAAAGTTTCTCGCCTCTGCCTTCGAGCAGAAATTCACCGTGCAGTACAGTGGCTCACAAATTTGTCCGCGGAAGGCACCGTCGTGTGAAAACCGCAAAGAATTTTGAAATTCAACGTTAAAATCGCGAACAGACTGGACTGTTCGTTGGCGTCTTTCTATTCGAGGAGGCCTAAACTTAAAATATTAATCTTAACAAAGATCCGGTCAAGTGTCGTCGAACGGACAATCAAACTATAAAAAACTCTAACAATTCTCGAGGCCGTGAGTCGCCGTACGGTTACGTGCGCCCGTGTGTACGTGTGTATGTACGTGTGTCGTGTAATCTCTCACTCCGCCGTGTCGGTGCGCAAACCCCCGTGAAAGAACCAACGTGTGCAAAGAAGCGAAATCTTGTGCGCGGAGGAGCGAGTTACAAGAGAAAAGGGAAACGAAAAATAAAGAAAAGACGTGTCTTATCATATCACAGATCTCCCAAGGTGCGTACAAGATAGGCGTCTATTAATTACAAAACAGAAAGGGGACAGGGAAAGACAGAGACAGAGGTAGAGAGAAAGATACATAGAAAACGAGAAGAACGTTCGCGGCGTGTCCCTCGAACGCGTCAGTCAACGAGGAACACAACGACGGGGGTTGTGGGGTAGGAAGGAAAGAAAGAAACATGCGAACGCGGTTGCCCGGAGGACGCGATCGTCGCGTCTCGAGGCAACGGACTTCGGAAACGATCGACGTCTGACGGCGACGTCGGACGTTCCCTCTAGCGACGTTCTCCCACCCTCCAAGTCGGAAAGCAACGTAACTGGCCGTGCGTCGCTTCAAAGGAGATATCGTTCAGAGAATTGCCGGCTTTCCGTCTCTCGCGAGATCGCGTGATTCGTCATTCCTGAAACGTTCGATCCGAGTTTTCGGGTGGCGGTAGCGCGGTGCTCGCGAGTAGGGCTCCTGGTTCCATTCTCGAGGTTTTCCCTCGCCTGCCGACGCCCGGGTCTGCGGTGACCCGACTCACCACTCTAACGTACGGGGTGGACCGTGCGAATGAGATGGTCGCACGGTGTTTCCGGATACCGTGAAGTTTTATCGTGGTCCCTTTTTATGGTTTTACGAGAAATGGACTTACGGGATTTCGGTTGTTTTATGGACTTTTGGGACTCGGACGTCGGCGAGGATCGAAACGCTGATACGTTTACGCGTTCGCCTACGTCGTTTTGGTGTTTGTTCAAAGAGGATCGCTGATGCTCGAATTAGCGTCGCGAGCAGCGTAAACGTGCAGAATGAACCGGAGATCTACGCGCGATTCGCAAGGGCCGCGGGCGACATCGGGTCGGTCCGTGCTCGGGCATCGATGCGAGTGTACTTCGAACCTGTAACGTCCTACGCGAACGGAGGTCTGGGTTCTGTGGAAGTAGACTTCGTAGACGGCGATGCCCGTTGCTGCGGAACACGTTGATTAGATTTACTATGCGCGACCGTCGGACGCTACGTCGTCGACGATCAATTTTCCAAGAGGTCGGAAGAGATTGCTTCGCGATGAGACCTGTTCTGCTGGGATGTTGGAGTCTACAGTGCGCATCGACCTCAGACGCATCCGCGATCACCGAATGTCGCGCGATTCCCTTGCCGAATAATTTCCGTTAGTAGTCTAAATAACATACTCTCTACGCGCGTACAAATATCTATACATACACAAAATACAACATATTTATATATATACCTAGAATCGGTAGAAAGTAACGCGAGAAGGAACGTGTGCACTCGGTCAACCTGCCAACCGGGCGACCTCTTCAGCTGGGAAACGACAATGGAATTTTGCGACGCGACGCGTGGACCGAGTACGATTTAAATAGGTTGTCGTTCGAGTGCTTGAAGAAGCTAACGGAAGAGGCGAACGCGCGTTTCACTGCAATCTTCATGAATGAACGTAGCGTAATTTATTCAGCCGATCAGCGAGGTGAAACGTCGTTGCCCTGAACTCGTCGCTCCCGGTCGACAGATCCAGGAAAACACCGTGTACACGAGGCGTTCCCTGTCGCGAGCGTTCCTGGGATCCAGCAGCCCGAAGACGAGCGTCTCGAGTCTTGTGGCTGTCGCGCGCACGAATCTCCGAAGACTGGAATCCGCTTGGGCCACGGTGCGCCGTGTTTGACGCGCGTCACCGTTGCGTCGGAGGGTAGCCACGTGCAGGTACATTTCGCGCGACGCGTTCACGCCAGGCTGCGTTCCGCGAGTAGCCGAGATCAAGGTCCCAGCACCTTGGCAGCTTCCTCCCGTCCTCCTCTTCTCGTAGCCGTCCGATAGCTCTTCGAGTGCCTCTCGGTCGTCCCGGTTCTCCCGCGGGCGGCGTCTGTTCATCAGAAGCTGGATGCTCGGCCCAAATGCAACAACGTCGTGGCTCGTTGGAGGGGCGGCTCGAGGCTCTTCGAGGCAGACTTAACGCAGCTGTCCGTGTTCCGCGAGTCCCGTTGCAACAGGCC